TTCTCCACCTACTTAGAAACATCATAGGAGCCATTGCTGCCAATAAAAACAACATGACTCTAACCACAAAACTGCACCACTTCAAAAAGAGGATGGATGCACCATTTACCACACTGTCAGTACACACCTGTGTTGGTCCTCCCGCTACCTGCCAGGGGGAGGTCATGTCAGCAGGTGTCACTGAGAACAAGTACAGAATGGCTTAATAAAAAAAAATAAAGCATTTTCTTGGACAATCTACTGAATAGAAAATATATACCAATGAAATATCTGATAAGGGTTTAATATCCAAAATATATAAGGATTTCATACAACTTACCCCCAAAACAAACAATCTGGTTAAAAAATAAAAACAGGCCCTAGCTGGTTTGGCTCAGTGGCTAGAGCATCGGCCTGTGGACTGAAGGGTCCCAGGTTCGATTCCGGCCAAGGGCATGTACCTTGGTTGCAGGCACATCCCCAGTAGGAGGTATGCAGGAGGCAGCTGATCGATGTTTCTCTCTCATCGATGTTTCTAACTCTATCCCTCTCCCTTCCTCTCTGTAAAAAATCAATAAAATACAGTTTTAAAAAAACAGGCAGAAAAACCTGAATAGACATTTCTCCAAAGAGAAAATGGTTAATAGACATATGAAAAGATGCTCATCACTAATTGTCAGAAAAATGCAATTAAAATCACACGCCTACCAGCACATTCCCTGTTGTTCCCCAGCAAGTCTCTCTCTCTTTCTTTCTTTTTTAATAATATATTTGTATTGACTTCAGAGAGGAAGAGAGAGAGGGAGAGAGAGAGAGAGAAGAGCATCAATGATGAGAGAGAATCATTGATCAACTGCCTCCAGCACACGTCCCAATGTGGATCAAGCCTACAACCTGGGCATACGCCCTGACCAGGAACCAAACCATGACCTCCTTGTTCATAGGTAGATGCTTAATCACTGAGCCATTCCAGTCAAACTTAATTGATATTTTTAAAGTATTTTTTTCCCAAAACAGCAGCATATACATTTTTTCAAGAGCACATGGAACATTCTCTAGACTAGACCACAGTTTAAGACATGACACACGTCTCAAATTCAAGAAGATTGAAATTACATCAAGCATCTTCTTCAAACACAATAATATGAAACTAGAAATTAATTTCAATAAAATAATTGAAACCCAGACCAACACATGGAGGCTCAGTAACATGTCCCTTCCCAGAGCACTCATATTAAATAAGAAATGAACTCTTGAGACAATGGAATGATGCATGTTAACTGATCTAGCTGAAGTTGATCTTGATTCTCCAATTCCCTTAAACCACCTGTTTTTGTTGAAGAAGATACCACCACCCCTCCTGCATATATACATCTAAGGAACTCAACCGTCTTCTGCATAAAAGGCTCAGTGGTTACACCTGGGGCAATTTTTCCATCACCTGACTTTATTTCTAGGCCTACAACAGAAAATAGATGGCAATGTACACTGGATAAAGAGGTATAAGAGGTGTTCTGAGATAGCTTAAACACACACACACACAACACAACACGACACTAAAAAGCCTACCAATTTTTATCATTGGGAGTTGGGGACCATATACTTGAGAGAATTATAAAGATCTTAAGCCAAGGGTGAAGACACATATATCTCAATCTAGTAAAATTCACTGATGTAGGAGTATCCCCCTGGGATTCAGAATTTAATAGATTGGTTCATGTATCCAGAAATGGGATTGATAGTCTGCTAGAGTGAGTAATTAAAGACTAAACTTAAATTAACATTGACTCATGGTCAATAATTTGGAAATGCCACAGTTTTTGAAACACACCATAAAGGAATTAACCCAACGACTCTGGGAAATGAATGTGTTGGAATGATAAAAACAAAAACTATAGACAACCTCCTCAGCCCCTAGCCATCACTGCCCAGGGGACCTGATGCATTTGTAAAATGTATTGGTGATAGGAATATCAACACCCTTAAAGAGTTCTATAATAATCTCCATCAGTAGACCAGAGATGAGAGCGTGAACACTGCAGAGGATCTCCCTTATTCTGATTTTGCTAGACTGGGTTCCAGAATCGTCATGAATAACCCCTCATTTGCCATTTAAAGTGTGACAACTGTATTCTGTTGCATTATACCCATTGTTGCTAATTGCAAAGACTAAAGACAGTTGGTTTGCTAAGTGGCACTGAAAAAAATTCTGACCCAAGTGGCACTACTTTTTCCAAATGTTTTTGACTAAAGAAGTTATACACAGTTTGTAGGCTCACTTTTAAGAGATGGCTAACATTAATACTGTACATATTTTACAGGTCAGATACATAGTCTAAAAGTTTATACAATAAGTTTAAGGACTAGTAACTCTAAGAATGTCAGGTACAAAAATACCTCTCTCCACCCAAGTACTTGTGACAGCATTTTGGGTTCTATATACAAAATAATTCTGTTTCTCTGCTGGGTTAAGTATGTAATATTAAGAATGTCAGAAATTATTGAAAAAACACAATTCATTAAAGTTCTATTACGATAATTCTGACCTTTTTATTTTTGGTCATCATACAAATAAAATCATGTTGCTTTGTCTTATTTCTTCACATATCATGATTGTGAGAATTGGATGCTGTTTTTTAATTTGTCATTTAGAAGTTTTGTATTTTAGGACATTTTTTGGTTTATGGAAAAATTGCACAGAAAATAGTGCTCCCATATATACCCCGACAAAATATCCCTATTATTAACATCTTAAATTGCTATGCTACAATTAAAGCAATATTGATACATTAATATTAACCAAAGTCCATAGTTTACATGGGGCTTCACTCTCTGTATTATACAGTTCTATAGTTTTTCACAAATGTATAATGTTATATATCCACTATTATAACACACAGAAAAATTTCAGCATCCTAAAAATGTCCTCAGATTTACCTATTCATCCCTCTCTTCCTCCCGCAAACCATTGGCAACCACTGTCTCTATAGTTTTGCTTTTTCCAGAATGTCATGTAGTTGGAATCATATAATATATGGCCCTTTTCAACTGGCTTCTTTCACTTGGCAATATGCATATAAGATTTCTCAATGTCCTTTTATGTCAGGATAGCTTTTTCCCCCTATATTTTTATTGTTTTACCAATATTATGCTATCTTGATACTATAGCATTACAGTGTCTTGAAGTCAGGTGGTATCAGTCCTTCAACTTTATTCCTTTCTTCCAATATGTTTTAAAATTTAGATTTTATTTTTATTCAGATAAAGTGAGGCCAACAGATCAGGATTGTCATTTTAAAAAAACTTTATTACACACAGCTTCCGGGAGGGGGTATTCCATGCCACTCAGGGCTATGACAGGGAACGCCAAGTTTAGTCACAGACAACCAGAGCAAGGGGAACTGAGAGACAGCCTTTTTGTGTTTTGTGTTTTGGGGTTTTTAAAAATATATATATTTTTATTGATTTCAGAGAGGAAGGAAGAGGGAGAGAGAGAGATGGACACATCAATGATGAGAGGGAATTATCGATCGGCTATCTCCTGCATGCCCCCTACTGGGGATCCAGCCCGCAACCCATGCATATGCCCTTGACTGGAATTGAACCTGGGACCCTTCAATCTGCAGACCAATGCTCTATCCACTGAGCCAAACCAGCTAGGACCTTTTTGTGGTTTTTATGTGAATGACAAAGGCAGGGCAAGCAGGCTAAACAGATTTAGGATTAGCTAGTTTGAATAGTTTCAGTGAACTTCCGTGTGTAGAGCTTGTCCCCAGAGGTCTGATGCTTGGTCAGGGGTGATTGGACAGGGGAATAGTGTAAAAGCTGGAAAAAGCAGAATGTTGAGGGTTTGGACTCTGGATTGGTTAGTGTTCGTATTAAAGGCATGCTCTAAAGAAAGAGAGAGGGAGATGAATCTCCATCGGAGTCTAAATATATAAGACTTAAAGACACAGAAGAAAAATGTCCTTTTGCTACCAAAGAATTTAACTTCTCTGCCGCTGGTGGGAGCTTGGCTCTGGGGACTCCGCTGACACGAGCACTTTCAGAAGCCCCCATGGGAGAAAGGGAGGTGGTAAAAGACTTTATTTGCGCTGAGTTACATTCCTCAGGCTCCAAAGTCCCTTGCCCCTTAACCCAGCCCTGAGAAAGGTACAGCTGGGGCTCCAGAAGAGCCAGAAGCTAGGCCAGAGTCCAGAGCTTCCGTTCCATGGTGAAGCTGGTCCCGTCCATTCAGTCAGATGAAGTCCATTAATCTACTGCGTGGGTCCCACACAATGGATTAATGCATTTGTCTTGAGATTTCAATTGAACAATCCCGGGAAGCTTCCATGAGAAACAGGCATAAGAATTCGAGTTTGAAGGATCACTAAACATGTGGCCAAAGCAGAAAAGAGGTTATCACCAGTTGGGGGTTGGCGGGAGGACAGGTTTCCAAGGAGTCAGGTTCTCTATCAGGATACGGTGTTGTTGTTTTTTTTTTTAAAAAAAAATCCACTTTGTTTAAGCAGAGAAATTTACAATAGCTCAGATTTGAAAATTGCCCAAGTGTCTATCAGTAGATGAGTGGATAAAAAAACTGTGGTACATCTACACCATGGAATAATACATGGCTGTAAAGAAGAAAGCACTCTTATCATTTGCAACAGCATGGAGGGACCTGGAGAGCATTACGCTAAGCGAAATAAGCCAGAAATAAGCCAGTCAGAGAAAGACAAGTATCACATGATCTCACTCATATGTAGAATCTAATGAACAAAATAAACTGATGAACAAAATAGACCCAGAGACATGGAAGCATGGAACAGACTGATGAATTTCAGATGGAAGGCGTGGGTGAGAGAATGGGGGGTGGTGATTAATGGGGGAACATGCATAACCCATAGACACAGACAATAGTGTGGTGAAGGTTTGGGAGAGGCAGGTTGCAGGTTGGAGGGGGTCAATGGGAAAAAAAGGGAGGACATCTGTAATACTTTCTACAATAAAAATACAGACAAGAATTTTATACATCAGGTAAAACAAATGCCATCAGAATTTGCTTAGGTTTATTTTTACTTTCTTCAAGAATCTGTTTTTCATCCATGATTTCTGTGCCAAGTAGAGCTGATTTCCTAAACTCCTGGGTTCTTGGATGTTGGCTCCTGTGGGAAAGGCAAGGCTGGGTGCCTGGGGAGAGCAGATGTTCCAGTTTGAGCTGTGGGAGAAGAAGAGAATCTTGATCTCAAAGAAAGGAGATCTAGAAAGGGGGGAAGGGTGACAAGGCCAACCTGTACCTTAACGGAGCAGATCTGTCTTTTTGCATCTGTGATAACATGTCCTTGAAATGTCTGGGTAACTTGTAACTTCCCTTTTTCCAGACCCCTTGGGGCACACCCTAATGTGCCTGGGCGCCAGGACAGATACCACAAATTCCTTCATTGCTATTGGTATCATATTAATTGATATGCACCCACCTAAGTGTCTATCATTTTACTTTTGATCTAATCCAGAGGTTCCCCCTCGACCATTTGCTTTCTCCCGCCTCTCTAATTTATCAGTGGATTTCAAGTAACCCACCTATGTCCCCTTCTTTGATTGCAAGGTATAAAGTAGATGAAAACCCGCCATTCTCTGGAGCACTATCCCAATCCATTGAGATACTGCTTCCCGGCAATTGTTGACAGTTTGGCTCAAATAAACTCACAAAAATTCTTTTAAAAAAAAAAAAAAGAAAAAGAAAGAATGGGGGAAGAAAGAAAACAATAGAGGAGGTAGTTGAAGAAACAGAACAAGAAAATCTCACCTCTGCGTTTGAAACCACGGGCCAACCACAACCAACATAACCAGGGTAACCATTATAGCCGAGCAGATCAGTATCAGGAGGACGGGGTATCCGTCTGGTTGGGGATAAAATAAGAATGCCAACTTATGAAGTGTCTCTATTCTACCTCAGGTAATGCTTCTTGTTTCCCAGGGTGGGGCCTTCCACGAGTTTTCCTCTGTATTTTCTAGAGCCCTCCTCTCCGTTCTTCCTGGTCTATGTCCCTGATCTCACCCCTCTCTCTCTTTTTTGTACTAAATCATTAGAGCCCTCTTTTTGTTTCTCTTTACTACCTCTAATCCTCTCCTGTTTTCTTTGCTTTCCTTCTTCACCCTTCTTTACTTGGATTTTCCCACTTTCATCCTCAGTGCTTAGCATTCCTATTCATTTCCCCAGGTGCTCATTCACTAGCCCTGGAACTATGGGAAGACTCTCATTTCCCCCAGGGCCCTGGTTCATCCTCACCCCAGTGGATGATTAGATCATGGCCTCCGAGGCTGCTGTGTTTCACTCGACAAGTCAGGCCAGTTGCCTCTCGAGCTGCCACGTCCAGGGTCACTCGCAGATACCATGTTCTGTCAGCATTGGGCAGGACTTCGCCTTGCTGAGTGCCCGGCTGCACCTTCTCACCGCGCATCCACCGCACCCACACAGGTTTGGGGTGAAAGCCAGACACATGGCACACCAGCAGCAGACGCCCAGGACCAGGACTAGTGCCTTTGGACACCCAAGCCTCTGGCTTCACTGGAAAGATGAGAAGAAGTGGACTTAGTGAGTCAGCTACCTCAGCAGTTGGAGTAACCACTTCTTTCTCTTGTCTTGGAAACAACACTCATCCCCTAGCCTCTTATTATGTGTTTCGAAGAGATGATAACGAGCTACAAACTCAAATACAAGAACGAAAGCACGAAGGATGTGAGGGGAGAGGAAGTTGGGCTGACCTTGCCGTTCCAGTTCTGACTTCCCTGCTGCGGCGATGCCAGCCAGAAAGCGAGGGCAGGTGTTACCTAGAAGGTTCTTCACAATTTCTTTGATAATTCGGTAGCGATTGAGCAGTTTGCAGACATTCTGAGCCCGACTTCCTGCTCCTGGAGATGGCTTCCAGGAATATCCTTGGAAACTCAGGAAATCTGATCCTTGATATGCCCCATTTAAGAAGGTTTCTGGGGCCTTCCCAGGATGTATTGTACAGCCGGATGATATCTGGATCACAAAGGGATCTGAGGGGGACAAACTAGAGAGCGTCAGTATGGAAAGACTTGTTGGGAAGGAAAGTAAACAATCCATAAAGTAAAGGGAATCAAAGGAAGAAAAATATTCTGGCGAATCACATGGGATACTCGTGCTGGGATGAAAAGGGGAGGGGGTAATTGTGGGAAGAAAATGTGAAGAGAATAAAGGTATGTAAAAATAATGAGTCTGACAAGTATCACATGATCTCACTCATATGTGGATCTAAGGTACAAAACAAACTGAAGAATGGAGTGGATCCAGAGACATGGAAGCGTGGAACAGAGTTCAGAATCTTGGAGGGAAGGCGGGGGAGGGTGAGTGGGTGGGAAATAATCAACCAAGAACCTTGTATGCATATATGCATGGCTCATGGCCACAGACAATGGGACAGTGGGGGGCTGGGGAAGGTGCAGGTAGGCTGGAGGGAGTCAATGGAGGAAATGGGTACATATGTAATACTTTCAACAATAAAGAATTGTTATTTTAAAAAATAATAATTAATTTGAAAAGGCTAGACGGGAAGACTTAGAAATATAGCTGACTTGTCAGAAAGAGCTTACTTGGGAGGCTTGGGTTAGGGTTAGGCCATGTGAACACTCAGACCAGGAAGAAAGGAGAGCAGATCCTGGCTGGGAAAAGCTGAGTCTGAGGCTAAGGGTGAGGAAAGAACATCAAAAGGAGACAGCTATTCCAAGGAGCCAGAAAATGAGGTACATTCACGGGTGTAGGTCCTTCTGTGTTTGTGGTGGGGTGAGGTAGAGTGGGAATGATGGTGAAGGATGAAGCAAAGAGGAGAGAGTGAGTGAAGGGAGACAGAAAAAAAGGTCGGGAAGGTTGAATGAAGGTCAGAACCCATATACCATCTTCACCCGCCAGGCAAAAACCAGCTTGGAATAACAAACTCACATTCAAACTGAAACCGACTGGAATACGCCTGCACTTCCTGGGGAAATCTATGGAAGTACAGCTGCAATAGCACTTGGATGCTCTCCAACTCCTCCTTGCTAAAATTACCCTGGGACCAGGGCAACTGATAGACGATGGTGCCCAAGACACTGTCCCAGCGATGAGTCTGCACTTCGCCCAGCCAGCCTGAGCTCTGGGTGTTCGCCCAGCTGTGGTTGGCAAAGGAGGAGATCTGGATCATGTGAAAGGAGAGGGGTTCCTCTCCTGCTAGATGATGGGGTTCGAGGACGTGGCCCGCTGAGAGACAGAGAAATGACAATGAAGAGAGGGTGAAAGGATGGGAGAAGAAGGGCTCATCTAGGAAAAAATAAATGCAGGAAAGTTTGCACATATTCTCATCTCCCCTTCCCCCCTGATCCAGTTTCTTCTCCCCAAAGTCAGAGAGAGAAACTGAGCCTGGGGTCAAGGATATGTTGCCCAGAACTAGCCTGGCATGCAGATTACAAGGGCACCCAGGGGGAGCATTACTCCCTGCCCCCAGATCCTCCCCAGAACCTTTCTCCACCCTGCTATGCCCGACCACAGGTATCTTTCCATCTGGGTTCCCCTTACCCTCTGGGCTTGGCACTGGGCAGAGAATTCCCTTGAAGAGCAAGGGCAGAAGCAGCAGCAGCAGCATTGAAGCTTGTTGGGTAAAGGATGCCGCAGCAGGACCAGTGTTCCTCAGAACTCAGAGACCAGCTTCCCTTCAAACCCTCCCGTGCTCTTATGTAACTTCCCCTGCCACACAGACACACCTCTCCCTCTGCTCACTTCTCTGTCAGAGAAACCCTGCTCCCTCCCTCCCTCACCACAGCCTCCCACAAGGTCTCGTATTTCCCCTCCATCTCTATCACTGTGGGGCCTCCACATTTTCTTCCTGCTCCTGTCTGTGTCCTAACCTCCCCGTGGTGCCAACAAACATAAAATGAGACTGGCTTCCAACAAGGTCTGCAGTCTGTGGTCTGGCTGGACAATTATGTCCCTCTTGGCCTTGGAGAAATCAAGCCCATACTTGGGTTCCCATATCCTTTTCTACAGAAAGAGGTGATAGAAGGTCCTTGGCAGTGCCCAGTGGCCTTGCCAGCAGTGCCCCCACTCCTCATCTCTCTGTGGTCTCCTCCTCCTCCTATCAGCTTCCCAGCCTTCCTTTCTTCTTTATCTTCTCTGTATTATTTTACCTACCCATCATTTTTTCCTCTGGAGTCTACTGTCATTCTTATCATGACCTTGCCTGTTCTCCTTATCCCCTTCCAGGGGTAGGCAAATTTTTTGACTCGAGGGCCACAGTGGGGTCTTAAACTGGACCGGAGGGCCGGAACAAAAGCATGGAGGGAGTGTTTGTGTGAACTAATATAAAATCAAAGTAAACATCATTACGTAAAAGGGTACGGGCTTTTTTTTTTTTTTAGTTTTGTTCATTTCAAATGGGCCGGATCCGGCCCGCGGGCCATAGTTTGCCCACGGCTGCCTTAGACTCTCTACATCTTTTTATTCTGCTCTTTACAAAAATATCTTTAGAACACACTAGGCGCCGAAACCGGTTTGGCTCAGTGGATAGCTCTCCATATTCCCTAGTGGAAAGGGAGCAGCAGTAGCAATACAGATGATGGGATAATCTAAGGAAGGTGCACTTCTCAGTTTCCCCAGTTACACAAACTGTCGCTGTTAAAGGGACCCATGAGTGGGATTGACCCGGAGGTAGTGAGCTGATACACAGACATTTTCACTCATGTTGTGTGAGTGGGTCTGTAGGGAATACACAGGGAGAGGCCTGGGATCCCCATTCTACCCTAAATGAGTTGAGTGTGTCCACAGGTGCTCTGAGTTTGAAGAGCAGCCATGCAGCTTTCTGTTCACAGTTCATCGCCCGGGAGCACTGGTGTCCCCTGGGTGGTATTTGATTAGAGAGGAGTTTTATGGCCAACAGATATAGGAAAAGATGCTCAACTTCGCTAATTAAAAGGATATGCAAATTAAAATCACAATGGGTTATCACCTCACACTTGTTAGAATAGCTATTATCAACAAGACAAGAAATAACTTGAGCTGGAGAGGGTGTAGAGGAGAAGAAACCCTCATACACTGCTGGCAAAAATGTGAATTTGTACAGCCACTCTGGAAACAGTATGGAGTTTCCTCAAAAAAAAAAATAATAATAGAGGTCAGAGAAATGGGGAGTGAGAGGCCCCCTTGGCTTCTCCTCTTGAAGTTTCAGCTACTTAAACAGCTGTAATTCAACAAAGAATTCCCTTCTCAACACACAAACACATCTGAGAGATCTGCACAATGAAGCATCTGAAGGTGGGCAAGGGGAGCAAACCAGGAGGTGGGAGAGAGAAGAGCTAAGATGGTGCCGGGGATGAATCCCTGAGCTTGCAACCTGAAGCTCACTGTGAGTCTCAGCCCAGGGAGGGAAGGAGTTACTAGTAGGTTGTCACTGGCACTCCCTTCAGACAGGAACAGAGAAATACAGTGAGCATTCCTAGGGAAGTGGTCAGTGTATGCTGCAGCTGAACCCAGTGACCTGGGCAAGCACAAAGAACAGAGGGCTGGTCATGGTTGTCTGGCAATTGGCATTTCAGACAGAGAAACAGAAAGTCACCAAACCTGGCCACCTCCCGTCACCCTCCCAGAGCTACAGCAGGGCCCAGAAGAAGCTGTAGCAGTGAGTGTGGGATTGCAGAGTGCATTATCTGCAAACCTGACAGCTAATACTACAGAAACATTTTTTTCCCTCAGCAAGGTCTGCACTCTGCACCCATTTCCAGGGTCAGTGGAGATACAAAGGGGAGTCCACTGAGGTCTGCCAGTCAACATCAGTGGATATAAAGCAACAAAGGTAGCAGCCTGCTTCTCCCAGCTAAGCCCACACCCACCCATTGTGGCTGAACTGCCGGCAGTGTCTAGCTTCAGGAAACAGCACAGGGATTTTACAGATTGGGGAACCTAATGCCCACTCCATTGCTTTGCAGAGTTTGTCCCCTGAGACTGAAGTGACCTAGACACAGAAAAGATGTCCAAATTCCCAGGACATTTTCCACCAACTCACAGAAATCTGAAAAGCCAAAGAAGTTCAAGAGAACTTAAAAACCTGTGACTCCTACTAGAAATCATTAGAAAGACTTTTCTTGAATAAATCTACTAGGGCAGTGGTTGGCAAACTCATTAGTCAACAGAGCCCAATATCAACAGTACTTCTTCAAAATAGACTTGCCCAGACCGAAAACTGACTTCTGTGCAGGGGCCACGAAGTTTCAATCGCGCTGTAAGCATGCCCGCACGTGGTATTTTGTGGAAGAGCCACACTCAAGAGGCCAAAGAGCCGCATGTGGCTTGCAAGCCGCAGTTTGCCGACCATGGTAATGCCATGCATACATCGATACCTAGACAAAAAAGAAACCCATCAAACACCATGAATAACCAAGGTAAGGAGGCAGCTCAGAAAGAAAAATTTTTAAATCTTGAGAAAATAAATTTAAAGACATAAAAACATGTGATTTAAGTGAAAAATAATTCAGTATTGCAGTTACAAAAAACTCAACAAGATATAAGAAAACACAGATGGGCAATTTAATGAATCCAGAAATAAAATCAATGAACAAAACTAGTACTTTACCAACAAGATTAAAACTTTTTAATAAGAACCACATAGATATTCTGGAGATGAAAAACTCAATAAAGTACATAAAGAATGAACAAGCGATCTTAAGAAATGGACTTGTCCAGATGAAGGAAAGAATTAGTGCTAGTAAGACAGAAATCTAGAAATGATGCAGGGTAAAGAAGAGAGATACTGGAAAAAAATTTTAATGAAAGAACTCTATAAGAACTATCTGACTCCATCAGAAAGAACAATATAAGAATAATGGGCATATCAGGAAAAAAAGAAGAAAGGGAAAAGGAAACAACCTACTCCAAAAAATAGAGTTAGTGAGAATTTTCCAAACCTATGGAAAGAACTAAATCCTTAAATCGCAGAAGCAAATAGAACACCTAATTACCTCCATTCAAAAATGCCTTACTTAAGGCACATTATATTAAAACTGTCAAAAATTAATGACAATGAAAGAATTACCAAGGTAGCCGAGAAAAGAAGACAGTAACTACAAAGGAAATCTCATTAGAATCATCAGATTTCTCAGAAGAAACCCTACAAAGGAGGAGAACTGGGAATAAAATATTCAAAGTACTTAAAGAGAGAAATTACCAGCCAAGAATAATATACCCAGCAAAGTTATCCTTTAGATATGAAGGAGAAAGAAAAAATTTTCTAGACAGACAGCAGTTGAGGGAATTTGCCACAGAAGACCTCCATTGCAAGAAATACTCAAGGGGGTTAATATAACTGAAACAAAGAACAAAAGGTCACAAAACTACATGGAGATTACCCACAGGCAGACAGAAGCATGATATCACAACCCTTTTTTAGAACAGGATACTGTACACTTAAATATCACACAAAGGCAAAAGCAGGTAATAGCATTTTTAAAAAGGAAGAAGACAAAAACTACTTGAATGCAGAAATGAACACACAACAGTAGTAGGGATAATTTATGACAACAAATAAAACATAAAAAAAGAGAAGTAAAAGAATGAATTTGCAAAGCAGGATGGTAATTAGATGCATTCAGAAGAAAAAAGAATACTATTTACAGGCTTATGTAAAATTTTTCTTTTACATAAATCTAGTGGTAACCAGTCACACACACACAAAAAAGACACCCAGAACTAAATATAATTGGACTAAGCTCACTAATAAAAAAGGCATAGATTTGATAAAAAACAAAACCAACCTAAACATATGCTGCCTTCAGGAGACACATCTCAGCTGCAAAAACAAACATAGACTAACTGAAAGGGAAAAAAAAAAAATAACTCTCCAAGCAAATGACATCAATAGGAAAGAAGGTATAGCATTACCTATATCTGACAAAATACATTTCAAGATAAAAAAGGTACCAAAAGACAAAGATTTACATTTTATAATGATAAAGAGAACAATATATTAAGAAGACATAACACTTCTCAATATCTATGCACTCAATCAAGGAGGACCAATATATAAAGCAACTACTAACAGCACTAAAAAAAAACAACAAAAAAAAACACTAACAAAAACCCAATTAACATAGAGGACTTCAATATCCCATTGACAGCTATGATAGATCAGAAAAACAGAAAATGGCCTTAAATGAAACACTAGATCAAATGAACATAATTCACATATACTGAGCCTTTCACCCCAGAGCATATGAGAATATATGTTCTTCTCTAGTGCACATGAAACATTATCAAGGATACACCACATATCAGAGTATAAGCTAGTCTTAATAAATTTAAGAAGATTGAAATTATGTCAAGCATTTTCTCTGACTACAATGTTTTCACATTGAAAACCAACTATAAAAAGGCAGAAAACACAGACACAAATATATGGACATTAAACAACATGCTACTAGAAATGACTGGGTCAAGAAAGAAATAAGAGGAGAGATCAAAAGTTATATAGAGAAAATACAACATGTAAAAACTTTTAGAATGAAGCAGAAGTAGTAATGAGAAATGTTTATTTCACTACAAGCCTATCTTTTAAAAAACACAGTAAGAATCTCAAATTTGGGAAAACCAAGATGGCGGCATAGGTTAACGC